TTTTTTTCCCCCCCCCCCCCCCCCCCCCCCAAAAAAAGCCCCAAACCTAAAAAACCTAACCAGCATAACCATGCCAAACCCTCAAAATAAAATGAGCCATGAAAGTATTTGTAAGTGAAGTATTTAATCTGTGATGTTTGTTCTGGAAGTTAAAGCCACACCAGTCTGCTGTGAAGATACCTCTTTTGGAAAAGATGTGTGTAGTTTGAATGTGCACTTTGAGCTAAGCTGCTCTTTCTCTGAATGAAACAAACACATTGACGATATCTTGTCAATAAGTATTAATCTATGTTGGATGATCAGGCTATAAGGATGTCATTGTGATAATCCATGTTTACTGATACCCTGATATGACATCACATTTATTTCATTTGCATGGAAAATTATTCCCTTGCTCTGAACTGCCAGCCCCTCCAGGTCACATAGAAATTATCTAAATACTCACTTTGTTGTCTTCAAGGTATTCCATTCATCTTTTTGTCCTGGTGATGATGAACTATGGCATTATGAATATGGCGAGTATTCCCAACATCCACAGGTGAGCTTATGTGGTTGCAAGACTGGAGCTGCCCCTCTGACAACTTCTCCCCTTTCATGGAGAAGCATGAGGGTTTTTTAGGACCACCTTCACTTCTTTCCTGCCTTTCTTTCCCAGTTACTTGCAGGAGCTTTGTTCATTCAGTTACAGAAGCAGCTGTAATCTCAATTTGTGGTTTTTGCATTGATATATTGCATTTCCCTATGAAATTGCTGGCCTCGAAAGGCAGCTTTTGCGGGCTTAAAAACTTTTGCCCAAACCTCTGGTTTCCTAAGCATAATGAAGTCATATTCTCCTTGGTCTGGTGTCTTTGAGGATTGCCTTTGACAATCCTTTTTAATGTGTTTTCCCCCTTGCTGTTTGGCCTTTAGGTATTTTCCACTTATTCTTGAGTTAGGCAGTTCAAATAAGGTCACTGTGGCAGCTTAACTTAGTGATCTACAAAATTAAGTCTTGCATTTGGTACTAGGCTTTGAGCTTAAAAAAGTAGAAAGTACCAGAAATGTCACTGCTTTGAAGCAGAAGCTTGCAGCATCATCATGAGACATTTTTGACCATGGGATCTTTCTTTTCCCTATACAAATGTCTCGGAGGAAGGAAGATATCTAAGACTCCTAAAGGTGCTTTATCAAATGAGTACCTTCCTGGCCAAAAGACAAAAAGCACTTTCATATGAAAATGGAAACTACGTGGTAGTTACATCTGCTTCTTTCACTGAGTAAGAGAAAGTTCATATGGAAGAACTTTTCTGCTCGGTCACTGAGCCTGCTCATGTGGGTAACATACTCTCTGTTAGAGGTCAGCACGTGGGAGTTTTTAAAATTGTGTAGGTGGACTTGTTTTTTTTCTTATTGATCATAATTAGGAATTCTTATTTGTAAAACTGCTACTTTATAGCAGGCTAGAAGGATGAGCTGGCCATTCTTCCCACTTTTGTGCTGGCTTCTCTAACAGCATATGGTTAATACTGTGGTTTGATTTAGGCGTGTTACACGTGATTTCTGTCTCTATGCGGCTGTTTCCATCGCTGCTGCTGAATGCTCGCATCCCCATCGGCTGGGCTGGGCAACAGAAACCCTTTATTTGTTTGTCTTCAGGGCCAGGGCTGTCTGACGGTCTAATGCTCAGATAATCATCTCTGCTTCTTCTTTGTCTCTTCCTGAGGCAACCCCTCTCTAATATCCAAATGGCAACCATTACTTATGATTTGTCTAGGATTGTTTAGAAATGTGAACCATGACAGGCTTGTCTATAGCAGTCACTAGCATTTTGCACCAGCAAGACAGATATTAATCAAGGAGCTTTTTTCCACCCCCTCACTGAGTGCAAAGCCCAGAAGTCCAGAGGTAATGAATAATTAAAAAAAAAAAAAAAGTAATTGGACAATGTTAATGAAAGAAATGCCATCCAGAGACCAGAAGGAAAAGGTGCTAAGAATGTGTATTACTTGTCTCCTGGTCATTGTCCCTGCCCATCACTTGGGGGAAATGCAGGAGTTATTCATTGTGGATCAGAGGAACCAAGTCTACAGAGGGAATCATCCAATACACTTATGTCTTCCTAGAGAAGTGGAGGTGGTGGTGGTAGGGAAATGGGCACAGTTTCAACTGGAAACCCCCTCACTCTTACTGTTCAGCCAATTAGTCACAATGGAAAAAAATAGCTGTACACTGCAGCACAAATTAAGCCGGTTAATATAATGTCGCCCACTGCTGCGAGATAGCCGTGCGTTGATTTGAGTCAATGCGAAATAGCAGTCCAATGTGCTGAAAAACCTTAGGAAGGCTGGGAGGGTTGGGTTAGGACTTTTCTACTGTATTCCACTACCCATAGCAGTGTGACTCAAAGTACATCCATATTATTAATTTTGGCAAAATAACAGTGTATTCAAGCTGCTTGAGAATAAGCTTGAAAAATGCCAGTTTAAGGGCTAGACCTGTACATTCAGAGGGCCTGTAAGAGCACTGGATCCTTCATAGCGGGGGTGCAAAACTTGGGGTTTTTTCCACCCAAAACACAAGTGGAAGTGAACAAATGGAGTAAAGAAACTACATAGTTTAACCTGCACGCTCCTTCCCCTGGTTATTTTCTGCTAGTTTGCTCTCTGGTGAGGCTTCCAGCCTTCAAGGCCTATAAAAGGACAAATTTAATCCAGCATCAGAAATGCTCCCAGCTGCAGCAGCTGCCCCTGCTTGTCCCCCTTTCAATCTAGGTGCTTTACAATTATTTAAGTGTTGAGGCCTATTTTAGATACTTCATCCCACCTGTTCAACAAGGCCAAGTGCGAGGTCCTGCACATGGATCGGGGCAATCCCAAACACAGATACAGGCTGGGCGATGAGTGGATTGAGAGCAGCCCTGAGGAGAAGGACTTGGGGGTGTTGGTTGACGAGAAGCTCAACATGAGCTGGCAATGTGCGCTCACAGCCCAGAACACCAACGGCATCCTGGGCTGCATCAAAAAAGGCATAACCAGCAGGTTGAGGGAGGGGAATCTGCCCCTCTGCTCCTCTCTGGTGAGACCCCACTTGGGGTATTGCGTTCAGCTCTGGGACCCCCAACATCAGAAGGTCATGGACCTGTTGGAGCGGGTCCAGAGGAGGGCCACAAAAATGATCAGAGGGCTGGAGCACCTCTCCTATGAATACAGGCTGAGAGAGTTGGGGTTGTTCAGCCTGGAGAAGAGAAGGCTCTGGGGGGACCTTATTGCAGCCTTCCAGTACCTAAAGGGGGCCTACAAGAAAGTGGAGAGGGACTTTTTAGAAGGGCATGTAGTGACAGGACAAGGGGTAATGGCTTTAAACTGGAAGAGGGTAGATTTAGGTTAGATGTAAGGAAATTCTTTACTCTGAAGGTGATGAGGCGCTGGAACAGGTTGCCCAGAGATGCTGTGGATGCCCCATCCCTGGAAATGTTCAAGGCCAGGTTGGATGGGGCTTTCAGCAACCTGGTCTAGTGGAAGGTGTCCCTGCCTATGGCACTGGGGTTGGAACTTAAAGAACTAGATGTTCTTTAAGGTCCCTTCCAACCCAAACCATTCTATGATCTATTACTGTTACATGTCTGAGCTGGATGACTTGCCTTTGGAGGGATGCTTTCCATTTTCTGTTGATGAGAGGGAGCCCAAGAGCCTCTCTGAGCCTGGACTGGATGCCTGACCCAGATAAAATAAGATAAATTCTGCTCTGAATTTCCTGAAGAAGCTGTCATGTCCCTCAGTCTGCCTTTCATCCAGCTGTTTGCTGTGGGCCATATGACCTGCAGGTTGCCTTGCCATCCATCACTGTCACTCACACTGCAGTTTGTTAGTCCCCAGGGAGGAAAAACTCATTTCTTTTAAAGCTGCAGTCTTGTTCCTCTGTAGAGTTTTGCATCTTCTCCTCCACGTGACTATTTTCTCCTGATGTGGAGGACAGCAGTAGACTTGGTCTTGGCCTGTCCATGTGATGCAAGCCTTCCATTCTGGTGTCCCAGCTCTCTGTTGCACTGTCTAGTTTGCTTCATTTGTCAGTCTTATTTCCAAATATCCATCTGCTTCTTACCTCCCCAGTATCCTCTTTCTTGCTTGGGTAAATACAGGGCAAAGTTAGTTGTAGGAAAGGCTGCATCTGCCCCACCTAGATACTGCAATGCCTCCAGCCCTCAGACCGTTCAACTCTTCAGATAGAAAGAGTCATGCTATCGTCCTGCCTAACACAATTTTGTGATCATCTTGAAAAACTGAGTGAAGTTGTCAAGCTCTGCTTAAGGAATGCTTCTTCTGGAAAGGGGCATCTTTCAGCGTTTAGAGCTGAAAAGATTAGGCTATGTGTCAATATCTGCCTTTACACAAAGTCAGAAGAGAGGAAATATCTCAAACTTGAAATGTTTTAGTTTCTGGTAGATCTGAGGAAGAGCTGTACATGTAAATAAAGAACATTTACAGATAAAAAAAGGCAATGGATAACTTCAGTGACGCACTTACAGTATCATCTGGTTTCAAATACTTGAGTCAGACAGCAATTTCAAATTAATATGTGAGGGTGGGAACACTGAAATTGAAATGCCCAACTTGAAGTGATCCTATTTCTTCTTTTCTTTTTTCCCACCCCCCTCGTGAGGAGACACCTCTGTAATGTTTCAGCTGGGTACACAAAACCTCTTTGAAAATTTCTGCCAGATCTTGTAACATATCTTCAGACTTGTTAACAACTTAATTTGCGAAAATCAAACTCCAGTCCTAAGCAAGCCCAAACCCAATTTGAGTGATTCTAGTTCTTGTTGGTACTTGTGTTGGTAACTGTGTTCTGTATGTTATGTTTTTAGGTACTCCTTTGTCGTAGCTATGGGATACCTCACGTTGTGCCACATAAGCCGAATATACATATTTCATTATGGTATTCTCACTACAGATTTTTCCGGGTGAGTGAGTCTGCAAGCTGGGTCCTGTGTCAATTAGTATTATTTAAATTTAGTACATTTTAAGAATAATTTTTATGTTATCTCGGGAGTGCCTGCAATTTTGTTTCCCTTAAGCTTTTTCTAAGACTTTTTTTTTTAGGAAGGAATAAACACTATGTGATTTTTGCATTGACTCATTGTTTCTGCAGTCTTCTTGCTAGGCACTATCTAGTTAGGAAGGTAGAGCTTGGTTAGCTAGACTTCCACCTCGAGCAGCCCTGGCAAGTGGCATGGCTGGTGCTCTGGTCCCTGGTGGTCTGTGCCCAGAGGTGGGGTGGGCTGCTCTCCTCCCACCTTACTAGGCACAGCCATCAGCTCCAGGTCGTCCTTTCCCGCTTTCTGATTTACCTTGATGCCCCAAATGGGAAGGTGTTTCCCACCCCAGGCACCCCAGCGGGTGGGAGGGGAGGGCTTGGGCAGGGGCTGAGTGCCTGGGGGAGCTGGGACGTGGGTGGGTAGGTGGGTGGGTAACTGGCGCAGAGAGACACGAGATCAGCTTTCGCTGTCGGCGCCGGTCTTACGGGTTCTCTCAGCAGATTGTGGTTGCTGTTTAAATAGCACAACTTTTTATATGCCATGCATTTCTGTGGAACAGTGTTTTTCATATATACTGTAGTCTCTGATTTCACTGAAGCAGTAGAGGATGCTTTGCGAAAATACGAACAGCTCACCCTATATATTTTGTTTATGAGAGGAAGGCATGCTTTTGCATGATTTAAAAACAATGTGCTAATCTGTATTCCACTTGTTTAACTGAATGTCTGAATGCGGAGTCATTAGTAACATACTATGAAAAATTTCTGTAAACCAGCACAGTGAGTTGTAGATGCCTCTTCCAAGCCTCTGTCGTCTTACAGTCATAGAGTAGGAAACCGAAGGTTTTTGCTGTCTGTGTGCATGTGTCTCTGTGTGAGGTGGTGGGTTTAAGCATTTAATTAAATTTCAGGGGGTGGGAGGGGAAGTTCCTCTGAGACTTTTGAGGGTTTTTTTAATTAGAGGAGGGGGTAGAAAAGGGAACTCTTATATTTAGAGAAATTTAGTTCTATAATTTTTTCTGCGGTTCTTTTAATACACAAAAAAAAGCATGTCCTGAAAGAGCATGACGTACCAAGAAGCCTATAAATGGGATTGGAATGCTATAGCTCTGTGTGTGTATGAAAGAGAAATGCGAGAGAGCATGTTTTTCTGAATAGTGCATTCAGAAATGCACTGTGAGGTGTGTTAGCTGTCTCTCTCTGAAGACATGTAATAAAGATCCAGCTGAGACTGGGGGTAGAAGAAGAGGAATGGTAGTTGGTTAAATTATAGACTATGTAGCATTTTCTTCTCTCTTGATGAAAAAGGAGCTGCTCTTACCTAATGATGAGCTTGAGGATGATAATGGTACTGCAAGAATAATACTTGAACTTTGTTGTTTGATTTTTGTCCTGATGTTTCAAGATATAAACGAATTCCTAAACTTCAGTCAAACATAAAACTGTGAAGTAGTAAACAACTGGAAAATGTAGTTTGGATATGAACTACATCTTCATGGTATATTTTAAAAACTAAGAATAAATAAAAATGTTGTAGTGGTATTAATAAAAACTTGCAATCCAAAGTGCTGAAACCCAGGTCAGCTTCATAAATCTGTCTTAAAACCTGTTTTCCTCAGCTGTAAATAATATGTGCCCACTGAGGCTTTATGCACATACCTAAACAGATGTGATGACCCAGAGAGACAAAATACACCCCCTACCACAGTTTTACCATATATGAGCAGCAACTGACCCTCCTCTTGCTTGTTCTCCCACGTTTGATGGTTCCACATCTATTGCGTGGCAGTTCTAGTGCCATCAGCTTTCCAATGTCAGCTCCCCAAAGTGACCAGCCAGATGTTAAATGAGCATTTCCCAGTGTTGGTGCTGAAAGCTGACATACCTCGTTCGCTCTCTTGACCTGCTTTGTGCACTTAACAGCTTGCGTGCATAACCCTTTTGATGTGTGCTTGCAAATATTATTTTTTTTGGTTCTTTAGTAATGGTTGTGCTGTTTGTTTGGAGTCCCCCCATTTTGAGAACGCAGCTTGTAAAATGCAGGTAGAGATGGAGCAGACAAGGTAACTTTTGAGTCATGTCTTAAGTAATCTGGAAAATCAAACTGTGACTCATCACTTCAAGGTTAAGTAGTAAGGAAACTTGTTCCTTACTGGTGAATAGTTAATTCTTCTAAATCATGCAAAAGGTAGGTTTGGTCACTGGCTCCCACAGTCAAAACTACTTAAGCTGCTTGCAGCAATTTCTTGATTTAAGAGTTTTTCATGTATTGCATAGTACTTGGATGAAAACTCCTTTTTTTTTTTTTTTTTAAAAGTGCCATGTTTTAATGAAAACCAGTTCCAGTGTGCTACACTTTAATTACGTTTTAAAAAATTTATATATATATTTTATCAAAGTCCTTTCATTTATATTATTTCACAAAAATGTGGTGACATAGTTTAGGAGTTTTCTTTTGACTACTTTCTCAAAGAAAACTATTCATTTTTGAACACTAATTGTAAAATAACTGGATGCTGTGCTCCCCCCTTAATTCAAGTCAGTCTTTGAGAGAAACATGCATATTTTATTTTGCTTGGTTTGCCATGGCATTTATACATTGTACCTAGGAAAACTAAATCCTAACTCTTTCTTTCTCTTTTTCTCTCTCATTTCTTCTTCTTTATGCTAAGAGGATTATGCTGGTAAGTTGCCTGGTTTCTATACAACTTTATAAAAATGGTAATACTAACATACAGTTTGGGGTTGGTTTTTTTTTCCTTTGTATCACAGGCTCAGACCAAGTATAGTAATATTATGGCTTTAGGGAGAAATTAGTTTAAAATAAATCAGGGGATCTTGATTGGGATTTTTGGAAACTAGTAATAGATATGGTTTCAATCAAGCAAGCTAGATAAACAAATGCCATATGCATATGATCATCTGGACAGAATTCAGAGTCGCTCCTCATCTGTATTAAGTTGTGTCTACTTTAATCCTTTGCTTGATTAAGACCATAGATGTTTTTGGTGTCCTCCTTGAATTCTTGCAGTGCCTGAGCAAAATTTCCTAATATTGCAGCTCATTTGGTGAATGTCAGGGAATGATTGTGCATATGTGAGTTTCTTGGTGCCATTCCTTGCAGAAAAGAAACTCAGTTTGTGAAAATCACTACACACACTGGCATTGCTTTCAGTCTTCTGTTGGTCTTAGAGAGACCAGAGCTGAATTATCAGGGAGACTCAAGCAGCTTCCCTCCCTACAGATGTCAAATCTCTGCCTTGTACATGAGTGTTTTGGTGGACATCGCTCTCCAGAAGGAATGGACATCTTTCTCTGTTTGCTTTATCCCAAATGCAGAATAGCAGCAGCATTCTCAGCAAACCACTTAGGAAGGGATGGTTATTGAAAGAGGCCTCTCAAAAAGCCATATAAGCAGAGACTTTAGTAACAAGTGTCACTTCAGGCAGTGAATTTTTGTTGGGAGGTTAGTGCTTTTTTGCTGGTTTTCCCCCTCTCAGTGGCTTAGCATCAACCACAAAAGAAAGGAACAAAGGTACAACAGCCGGTCTTTACAGAGGAAATACATTTGCTGATGGAAACAAGCATGGATGTATTCTGTTACCATGTGAAAACCCAATGCAGAAACACTAACTGGTCCTGCGAGTTCAGTCGGTTATTTTTATTTTTATTTTATCATGAAGTGCAAGACGTTGTCGGCAGTGTGTGTTCCAGCAGCTCTGGGTAACTTTGGTCGGCAGCGCGTCCCCAGAGGCAGTACAGCAGCGCAGGTGCAGGGTGAGGGAGGGCAGGCAGTTTTTCCGTGCCCGCTGGCTGCTTGGCTGCTCCGCTGGGTGTTTGTCCGCTTGAAATTGCACTGAGATCGCTTGCCGTTGCTTACACAGAAGTCCTGCAAGAGCTGCGGTGTGGAAATGAGCCAAAATTCAAGCAGGCAGTCGCTACTAGAGAGCTCCACGCATCTAGTACATCCCCAGACACTTCTCCAGAAGTCAATACTCTCTTAAGTGAAATGCTTCTACCATGAAAGCGTAAGAAACGCTTTTGGGGAGCTTTCACTAAAAAAACCACATGAAGCAAATTGGAAGTTGCTGTGGAGGCATGAGTGTGTTCAGTGAAGTATTTTTTCCTCTGTGTGCTTCAGCACTTCTTCATTTTGCTGTCGAAAGCAGAAGCGAGAGCCCACTGCCGGTGGTGGCCCTGGCTTGGCGATGCCCTCGGCAGCAGTTAAGGTCGTAGCAGAGTGTGACTGTGTGAACTTCTCATCGTGGCTTCAGGGCTAAAGAGATAAACCTGAAATAAATGTTTGCCACTTTCGAGTCTTGTCTGCAATGAGCCTTTTGACTCCACCTCCTCTCTTAGTGAAATCAGGTCAGTGGAAACTATTTCTAGTGAGCGTGTGCCAGACTCCTCCATGGGATTACCTAAGGTCAGGCAGACTCTGCTTGGAAAATGTCTTTTCTCTTGTAAGCACCGACGCTTGTTCAGTGCAGAAGTCAGCCTGTGATATGGGGAGGATCCCCACAGCAGGCTACAACTGATGTGGACATCTTTAGTTCCACTGGCTTCTGCTTCTGGGCAAATTTTTTATGTCGGGGCGAGCCATCTTTAAAAATGACATTAACTGGTAAGTTTTCATTTAGAAAGTTTAATTAGAAGGGTAAATCCATCTATTGAGCATTCTCTGTAAAGTGTTGCATCTTTGTCTTGTGTTATTTTTCAAGGCATCTAATGTAAGGTAAAGACAGTTTGGGTTTTTTTATTATTTGTTAAAATTTCCTATTTTATACTGACTTCCTGGGACAACTTCTTGAATTTTTTTTTTTTTTTTTTAATTAAAAGTTGGCCACTATGGTTTGTGTGTAGGAGGTACAATGCAGCTACAACCTGAGATTAAACTCTTGGCCAATATATAAAACATTGCGGGGGGGGGAAGTCACACCACAGTTAAATCAAATTCTGTGTTTCTGTGCTAGTTTTTAACTGTAGTGCTTGGTAGGACAGGTGAAGAGGAGAGGATGTGGAATCACCATTCTGCATGTGGCTGCAAAGTGACTGGAAGCTGTTCAAAAATGATCGTGTTCAATACATTTAGTCTTCTTATATGTGTTTTATTTCAAATGCTTCCTCCCTACGGGTAGGTCTTCATGCTTCATCTGTAAATGCAAGTATAGTAGGTAGATTTTCTTTTTAAATTCAACCTAATAATATGGCCCACTCCAATAACCTCTGCGTGTCTAAAAATTTGGGAGAAAGGTTATTAGAAGTTTTACAGTTTTGTTAACTCCCCCTCTTGTTTGTAACACTACTGACTTTTTCCAGTAGAATCTAAGGTTTAAAACATTATTATGTTGGAAACAGTTGACTATGTGATATGATGCTATATTTTATCAACTTACTCAATGTTTTTACTGTTTAAAATTAGAGCTTGTCTGAAAGGTTGAATAGAAATGACAATTCAATACTCTGGTATTGCCAAGTTTTAATAATCAAAACTCACATGTGTTTTTAGGAAATGATGATACTATTTTTCCCCCTAAATTAAATGTATTTTTCTTGTCTAATTTTTAATGTTGTTTCAAGACTTGCATCCTCATGCATTGCTCTGCAAATATGAGGGAAAGGACTATTTTTCATTCTGAAGAAACAAAAACAGTCTTAGACTTGCTCTGTGTGTGTGTAATGAGGCGAGATTGGGTGAGTCCCCAGGGAGGAGTGGAGATGGGTGTGGGTGTACAGAAGGTGGGGGACCTCCGCACCCCAAAGGGATGCCAAAAGAAGGGATAGGTCCAGTACTGCTGTAGTTTTGTTGTGCTCTGCCCTTTCCTACAGCGAAGGCTTCATCCCCCAGTGAGATCAAGTCAGTGAGGGAATGGTAGATGTGTGGAAGATGCTCCCTGTTCACCTGAAACCTTGCTTACCCTTTGCGCGAAGCATTTAATGATGTCTGATACTGATCTTGTGAAAGATTTAGAGGGGGTCATCCCGTTGCCACTATACAGCAGGCTTCCACCTTCCCAAGTAGGGTATAGAAGAGGTAGGTCGATATGCAATACGATGATGGCAGGAGAGAGAACCGAAGGTATCTCAGATGCCCTTTGTGGGTCTCCCTCCCGCCCACGGTGCCAGCAGCATCACTTCTGTGCTCGCTTGTCTCCTCTGGAGCTGGGATTTGAGGGAGGCAGACCGTCCATCTTTTCTGATTAAAGCACAGGAGAGGCTGACTTGTTCTGCCTGGTTACAACGTGCTGTCAATGAGGCGATGGATTCCTAATATAGATGGAGAGAATCACTCTCTCTTCTGTGTTTATATGTTGTACGACCGTAGTGCAGGCTGCACTTCTGCTTCCCTCAGTTAATCAGCACATCAGGATTGTTTGCATTTTGGTTCTCTCTGGCTTACAGTGGGGGGGGCCCAATTTTCTAAGACAAGTGTCTAAATTTAGGCACTTAAAGGCGTACAGTTTTGGCTCTGAGCCTGGGGTTTAAAGTTACCCACTTCGATATTGGCATAAAATTCTTACTGTAAGAAACACATGCAACAAATTGAACCAATTTGAAACAAGTGTTAGCGTTCATCCATAAAGCTAAAAGGTCAAGCACTGACAAAAGAAAAATCTGCGTTTGTCGCAGTAGAACTGCTGGTTCACTGACAGCCTCTGTCTCTCTTAAGGATTAAAAAAAAAAAATCAGCTTTTTCGTATGCTTAAAGGATTGGGATTTGTGTATCTTTGAAAGCAAAGCTAAATTTTGTCTGAATGGGAAAATGTACTTTGAGAAATAGGATGTTGAAGATAATGGTGAAAATAGCTTATAAATAACTTTTCTTGAAAGATGAATTGGAATAAAAATTAGAATGACTATTTCACAATATTGGAGCTGCCTGGAAGGTTGAAAAGTCATTGCTGAATTCGTCCATCCCTTAGCTGCAATCAGGGGTCTAGGTGACCCAAGGGGAGCTGCTGTGCAAAACCTTGTGTTACAATTGTATTCCAGATCTGTGTATATTTAAGCTTGTTCTGGATTTTATCTGCAAGCTTTTTTACTGACGTTTCAAGTAGAGACTGCTGGAATGATGAAAATTGTTTCTGATTAAGAAATTGGCTGATACTGCATGTTCTCTGTTTTTGAGTAGAAAATGCAAATTACTCTACCCACGCAGAATTACATGTAGACTCTTGAAAAAGATCAGCCATATTTAGTATTTAAAAAAAAAAAAGACCACTTGTGATGAAAGAATCTCTTTTTCCAGTATTCTTGTGTTTACCATGCTCAGCATATGAATTATCTTGAAAATCAGTTTGATTTATCATAGTGGGATAATCAGATTGCAAATAGTTTATCTTAGCCATTGAATTTACATTTGATTGCAACCAGTAGGTCAGTTTAGTCGAGGATGATTCAGAATCTCTTGAAAAACTCTGCAGAACATGAGTATTTGACTGTAATTTTAGGTAGAGGTACCACTGAACATAACTTATGCTTTTTTTTTTTTCTTACCTTGACAAATGGGTGGAGAAAATACAGTGGTCAAACTAAAAAAATAGCCTTCAGCTTTATTTCTTTCATTGAATTCCAGAAAATATATTACAATATTTAAAATGGAGTAATCATCTACATCTCTTTAAAAAGTTCCATATACCGGTCAAACTCTGTAAACAGCATGTACACAAACTCAGGTTTTTATTTCCATGTTGAAGACGTTTGTGTTCAAGCAGAAACCTCTGTACAGTTTATGTTGATAATTCATCACCAAATCGAGAAACAATTGTATTAATCCTCAGCAAAGACAAATCTCTTCTGTGGAACTGTTTTTACATATAATCATCGTAATTAATGCTTTTAAAATAACGACATATCCTTATCACCCTTTACAACGCCCTGGCTATTGCGGTCGTGAAGGTTTCGTAGGCGGTGTGAGATGTGGGCACCCTGTGCTGGTGTCCCCAGTGGCAGAGAGGATGGGGAGAGGCAGCGTTATTAGCAGGTGCTTGTCCCTTGTCCCTTCACCTGCCATGGGTCCTTCCAGATTGCAGGTGTTCGGCGCCGGGTTTTGTGTTTAGGGTTCCACAGCCCTTAGAAGCTGTGTACGGACCGCAATTAGTCCTCCAGCCTATGAGGGACTGATTAGTTCTCCCCATGGTTTTCCCTCCATCTTTCTTCTTGCGTACCTCTGAACGCTCCTGGCTGTGTCCTTTACCCTCCTGGGGACTAGCTCCTGATGCCACCAAGCTGAGTTTTGCCTTTTTTCCTTAGCTGCAGCAGCTCACATTTGCCTACAGTGCTGAGTAAAGCTGGCTACTGGAAGTATAAGTAGCCCCTACTGAACGTAGTGGCTATTCCTACGCTGTTTGTTTGGTTGGCCCCAAAGCTGCTGGGTGGTTGTAGCCTGTACGCACGGCTTGGGTACAGCTAGCTCATGTTTTTGGGAGACTCCAGACCCCACATGCCCAACCGCTCCCAGCTGGATGGTACATCTTGGACAGGCTGTCCAGAAGGCAGTTGCACGGCTGAGAAGCAAGTGGGAAACTGCTGTGCTGATAGCTATTTTGGTATTTGCACGCAGTCCTAATTGATAGGGCTATTCATGTGGGGAAATAAGCATGTGTATTTGCAGAGTTGACATTTTTTTAGGGCACTGAGGAGACAGACAATAGGAGAGTAACAGTAAGAAGAGCCAGAGTTATGTTACAACAGCATTGCTGTATTAGAGCGTTGCATCGTATGGGGCTTGAATTTGGTCTTTGCCTGAAAGGAAGCCCAGTGGACTGCAGAAGCTGGTATTTCCTAGTGGTGCAATTTCTTCTGAATTACAATTTGCGCTGCTGCAGGATGGGGAGACATAAAATAAGGCTTTGTGCGCACTTAGCAATTAAAAATTCCAGTGCAAGTTACTGTGGGGTTGTTTTGAACTCAGACAATTGTCTTATGCCTGAGTTCCTCCTTCAGTTTTAATTGGATGTTTTCCACAGTTCCACGGTTATGCCTTTTAAAGGGATAAAGACATTTCAGTAAGAAAGTTGGGAATAATTTGTATTACAAGACATGTAACTGTTGTTTCTGTCTTTGTTGCAGTCCGCTGATGATAATTACACAGAAGATCACAACACTTGCATGCCAGTTACATGATGGTAAGAAAAGGAATCTTTTCCCATGTCCTGAAGACAGCCTTTTTATTCCAGCACATTCTACAGTTGGGTTACGGAGTAGGTAAATGTAGTTCAGTGAGTTGCTCCAAATGAAGAAGAAAAATGCTTTGAGGAAGAAAATGAGAAACTTCAAGTTTTAATCAGTTCTCTAGGATCAAACTGTCTTTGCAGTAATGAAGACAACTGGTTTCCCCTTCGGGTGCTCTACTTCCTTGGGGCCCAATTTGGATTTTAGCTAGTACCAGTATCTGCTGTTTAGCTGCTACAGTGCATCTCCATTAAGCTCTCTGAAGCTGTTCTTGATTCTTAAATATCAAGAGTTGTGTTTTGATACATAGGTTCAGTCTTTAATGTTAATGTAACAAAAATATGCTATCACTGAGATATTTGGTGGTAATATACTCCATGATTTGAGAGATGGAATTCAATAGCATTTTCCCAGCGCAGGGAGAAGCATAGTTGCAAGCTGTGACAAAGAGCACTATTATTTCCTGGTAAAATGCCTGTGTCCAGTACAGTGCAAAGGCTAGAAATGTCAATTGTCATCAGTACTGTTATTGCTCATGTCTACTGATGTTGCAGTGTGAATTTCTGATGGTCCAAGGCCCGCTGCGTTATAAGCTGTAGGTGACTAAATAAGTAGCCTGCTATAGAGTTATGATCTAGGATTTAGGTGATGGCCACACCACAGACTGCAGGGTCTGGCATTGTTTGCAAGCCAAGTTTACACAAGTGGGCCTAATGCTTTTAGCTGGCTATAATGGGTGCAGCTTGAAGCTTGGCTAATTATCCTTGTCGTTGACATTCATGTTGCTGAGGCTTCTCTGCTTCTGTTATTTAAGCTAGCCAGCTCAGGTATCACTGCGTGCCACAGTGGTGTGCAGCCTAGATGCACACCTACTGTTTTGAAGGTAAATAGACAGAAAGGAAAAGGTAACAGCAGAGGCAGGAGCGTTTTAAGCAAACCAGAAATCCTGCAGATTAATGGTGGTGGAAAAGGCTCATTACATTGTAAACATCCATATACGGGGCAGTTGATCAAATGGAGGCAGCTTGCAGTTCAAGCATCAGTGACAAATTTCTATTTGTAAAAATTTAATGCAGCTGCCCATAAATGGAAACAGACAAACAAAATACCCAGCCCTTTAAGTAATTAAGTGCTTAATTGTCTCCCTGGAACTCGTGCCCTCCCAGTATTTACAAACTGAAATAGTGGAGAGAGAAATGAGCAGCTTATCAGCAGTCTTTTTAGGAAATGGGTCTTGTGTGCGTGTGTTGGTGATTATGGCCAGTCCGTTTAGAACAGTAGTGTTAATTGATGCCAAGCCCCTGATTTTGTGAAGCCGTATATATGCATGGTCAGCATCCAGTGCTGTGACTCATCCCACGGTGAACTGTTCCGCTGAAGCCAGTGGGATTCCTTACAGGATGCGCAGCTACAGCTTCGGAGTGAAGGTTTTGAGCTATTTGCTATGAGCAACATCTGTTTACGCACTGGCCACCGTACAAGATTTCTCCATAGTTTTCCTGGAACGGCGAGTCTGTGCACTACCTCTGGCCCCAAAGGTCCTGTGCACCCAACAGGAGGTCGCCCTTCCAGTCTGGTCCTTGTATAATTCCAGACTATTACCGATGTGTGTGTTTAGGCTTGCTCCAGCAGCAGGCAGCCAGGCTGCTTGTTCACACCAGTGGAGCTTCTGTTCCCCAGGAGCCCGTTTCTCTTCCACTGCCCACTCCTCCTGCTGTGAAATGCTCCATTTCTCACCGAGGAGCCAGCGGGAGGCTTGTGCTTAAATGAGCTAGTAGCTTCTGGGAACAGAGGTTTTTCCAGCCCAGGACTGTTAGTAGAGGCTGGTGGGGGTCGCTGCCCGTTGGTGGCATTGCGAGTTGTGTTGGGTGTGTGGGAATACTACGGCTGCTCTTCCTCACAGTGTAGCAAGGGTGAGAAAGGGGGAAGGAGGTGAGGAACTGGGTAAAGAGGTGGTGTAGAACATGAATATACTTGACCTAAAAGTTAGGAATTGAGCTGTATTACAGCCACCTGTGACAAAGAAATCTTGAAGCTTATGGCTTTAGAAAGCTATCTGTGGGATGCAAACCTAAGGCTTTGGGGATAGCTGTTTGGCTTTTGGGAAGATCTAATGTGACTTTTTTCTCTGTAGGAATAGGACGACAAGCTGAGGAACTCACTGCTGAGCAAAATCGGCTTGCTGTAAAGTAAGAATTTAATTCCCCTAGTGATTTGTGTTTAATTTCATCCAAAGAAGTTTAGGGTTTGGGTTTGGGTTTTTTGTTTGGTTGGGTTTTTTTCCCCTTGGCAATGTCAGGACCAACTTAGTGGCCCAGCCACGAAAATGTTCCCTGCTTCTTCCCAGTCTGTGATAAGCCAAAAGTCCTACCTGCTTTTTCTATTGGCTTGAGCAGTTTTGGTTTTGTAATGCTGCTGTCAGTGCCCTCCTTACACAAATATAGCTTCTTTGCTGTCTTCCTTATTTCTTCAATCCAGGACTTTGGCCTTTATCACCCTGTGCTGGTCAGTAAAGCACCGAAGTACTTGGCAACATCTCATTGACTTAGGTACATACTCCACGTGCAACAAAACTAGTTTTTGCTGAATCACAACTCTTTTACATTCAGGCTAAGACTGTACTATATGGACTTTTTGGCTGTTGTCTTCATCCTCTCTGTGATATGTTGTTTTTCCAAGTGGAATGCTCCTCCTCTGTCAGCAAACCACTGCATAGTAAAAATCCATTTTGGTTTGACTCTGACACTTCAAGTACTGCTTTTCTTTACCATAATTTTTGGAGGCTGAAATTTTATTTTTCCTATCTCCCTCAGTAATGTTAATACTCCTAGCCTTTCATGTTACATGACTAGTCTTCTCATTCTTTAGAGGGAGATAGCATGTTGATCATATGTTTGAGTGCCTTTTATTTTTTCTATTTTATCTTTCAATACAAGTGCAGGATCAGGTGAATTTTTTTTTTTTTTTTTTGAAGAATTAGTGTTACAGACTTAGTCTTAGAACCATAGCTACATTTCACCATGAAGTATTTGTTTAAGGCCAAGGAAATTATTTCCTTCATTTCCAAGGCAGAAGATTCAACCATCAGAAAATCTGCCTATAAGCTTCTAAAAGTAAGAAGGGAGGGATTTCTTGAAAAGCAAAAATCCTGTAGGGAGACTCGTGTAACATTTGCTGTGACCCATAGCCTTGTGTCTATTTTTAAAGCTCACAGCATAACGTTTAACTGGAGTGGGCCCTTGTGACCATATGATTAATTCTAGTCAAATTCTCACCAAACAGGCTTTTTTTTTTTTCTTTTTTTTTTCTTGTACAGTAGATGAGCTCATAATAGAAAAGTACATGCCAATAGCTCAAGTGTCGGTGGCACACAAGTCATAACTGAAGAGTTTTAAATCCCCTTTGGTAATACAGCCTTTTGTCTTCCCTCCTGTTCTTGGTCTGTTTTTGTTTCTCACTCATCCTCTGCACATTCCTTCGTGCATTGCTCATGTCTCCCCACCCACCCATGTGCAGAATCTAAGTTGAAACTAATGACTTTATTTTTAATCTTACTGTAGAGCTCAGAAGCCCAAATCATGGACTCGATTCTGCAAAACAGAAAGATGAGCCTTACCCCAAATTGTTTGCCGCATGTTTCTGTGAAATGGTTTCACCAGAGAACATAACATTCGGGCACTAACATCTACAATAACCAGCAGGGTGGATGCAGAAAATCCTGGCTAAGCTAACTGTTTATTCAAACTAATTCCACTTCAGAATAAAAGTAGGCAACAGCAAATGTTTAACTGTTGCTTAGTTTTTCTGCTAGAAATTTATGTTTTGGTCTGAAAGAATTTTAAGTGGGTTTTGGTTTATGCATGTCCATCTGTGTCTTGGACAGCAAAGTCTTGAAACACTGTGCCCTAGTTTCTGTTCTCATCTGGGTACTCCTCATTTACTTGGACAGTGACTGTTAGCACATTTGTGGAGAGCACTGTGTATCCCAGCGCAGAATTTAGATGTTGGTGTTTTCTGCCACATAAAAAACCCAAGCCCAACAAAACAAATTACACTAGCAGTGAGAGGCCTATGCACCTTTCTTTTCCATCCTACTGACTTGTGGCAGGGACAGTGGATCTTCTTCATTTTACATCTAATGCAAAACCCTGCAAGGAACTTGTGGGGGATATGCACTTGCAAAATGGAAATAACGAACACGATGGACTTTCTTTGACTTTCATCTTCAGCTGTCTTTTGATTTATGTGTTTTTTCCCATTAGTTCCTTTTCCTGTTTGTGATGCAATACAGGCAATTACTTCCTTTATTTGCACAGTAGGACAGAGTCCCTCTTCATTCTCTTCCTCTATGTCTCGCATCACTCTTCCCATTTTTCAAAAAGCTGAACTGAAGGGTGGGTGAGAGCTTCTCTCAAGCCTGAGAGTCCTGGTCTTAAATGCTCCCTGCCCTGTGGTTTGCATAACAAGGCAAGGTACTGCATTGCACAGCCTGGTGAGACCAGTGTTACTCAGCTTGTGGTCTGCCAGCCGTTACTGGTCCCTGACATACTGGACAGATGTCCAAAAACTATTACCAGTTTGTCACTCCCGGTAGTGCTGGCCTGTTCAAAATGTGCAAGTCAATTTGGAGTGGGCATGTAAATTTATGACTGTTTCTAACTAAAATGTTTCTAGTAATAAGATTACAACTTTTCAAATCAGTAGCATTCATTCACCTGTAGCTTAAGCACTTCCACATTACCCTTGTTCTGTCTGCCATCTGCCAGACATCACCAGGATATAAGAGAAGCTGTGCTTCATCATCTCCAAAACAGATCTAGTGAGCTTTCAGCTGGGGGGACAGTGGCAGGAGAGAGCTGGGGACTGAGGCAGACACTACAACAAAAAGCATTCGTGAAAGCCTTTGCTGGATTTTACCTTGTTTTGGTTTTCTTCTCTTTTGTCACACGTGGATGATTTTCACAGGACAAGACCTTCTTTACTGGAGTATTTAAGCTATCTCCTCAATTTTATGAGCATCATAGCTGGGCCTTGCAGCAACTACAAGGATTATATAGCCTTCATTGAAGGGAGGCATGTGCACATGAAACTATTAGAAGTGAACTGGAAGCAGAAGGGTTATGACAGACTTCCTGATCCTTCTCCAACTGTAAGTTTTAAAATGACAAAGATTTATTGCAAAGGCCAGGAGAGTACAGCTTTGTAGATGATTCTCATAATTAATAACTAAGAAGAAAAACCATTTTTGGATTATCTTCCCAGTAAACTTTACAGTGTTTTTTTTCTGTGAAGTGGCTGCTGTTTTTATCACAGGGTCGGGGTGAAGGGGCTAGTGTCTTCCTCTTCAATTCCCCAAATGCAATGCGTTTGGCTTGCAAAATGGGTCATTGGTTAATGGATGTCCTTTGTGCAGTGATGGGAACGGTCTGCAGGTTCTGACAATGACAAGTTGCAGTTCAGCTCCAAGCAGAAGAGGAAATGTCAGAAAAAAAAAAAGTCAAATCTCACCCATAGTGCAGGAGATGGTACAAGTACATGAATCACAGGTAATCAGAAACTGTAGCTTGCCCAGGTGCTTTGCAAGAGAATCTCACACTTTAAGATGACTTGGAGGTCATTCTTCACATACAATTAACAATTTATTTTTTTTTAATATTACCTAAGACCTTCTTATAAAATGAACTTCTTGTAAGGCAGGATAACATAGCATGAGAACCAGATTCCTCTCTTTTACCTTAAGGTGACACTGAATGTGTAGCTTTGAGTGTGTGCAGAATTTCTCCTCTGAAATTATATGCTTATACATACTTGATTCCCATTGCACATGGCTGTGTTTCTACTGACTTCAGTGGTGTTACTTCTGACTTACATTAGTCTGACTGAGGTCAGAATAAGGCCCGTATTGTGTTAGATGCAAGTCAGCAGAGAATACTAAAATTTGCATAGTAACCATTTAATGATAATTGCACATTATTTTATTCCTGAATATGAAGAAGATATAAAAAGAGTACTTGGGATCAAAAAATGCATTGTTGTTTCAATAGTATATTGCACTTTTATTAGTCTTTTGAGAACATGAGTCATTTTTTACATGGTACCCAGGTGCCAGATTTACCTTTTTAATTATGACTGTATCAAGGAAAGTCTACTCATGATGTAGGTTTGAAATTGAGCTTCTACCTACTGACATGACTGTCAATAATATTAGTATATAGAAAGCTAGGGAGTGGTAGTAAAAAACAGTGTGGCGTAGCAGATACCTTATATCATGGGAAGGCATGCATGCTGTATAAGACGTGTGCTTTTTTGGACATGTGATTTTTAGCAAGACCTCTGGATGGTAGCTGGGCAATAAGACCTACAATTGTTCTGAATACTGGTGGGTTTGGCTTCTAGGAGGAATCTAGTCTTTAGTTCCAGCAGATGATAGTCCATGTAGGAAAGATTTCTCCTCTACATTGTAGGGTTTGTTTTTAGTTTGTTTCCTTTCACATTTGAGGACCTTCACTAACTGATGTAGGAGTCTCTTGTGAAGTTCATCACCAATTTTGACTTCTAATTATCCTTTTTACCTATCTATAGGTAGTTCAGTAAAACAAATTAGACCAAAGCTTTGACTGTGGCCTTTTCTTTGTTACCTCTTCTAAATTAATTATCAACTTTGTCACTGCTAACTTTATTGGTTCTTGAGGCACATTGTTTTTCTATGTCATGAGTACTGCCTTTTTTTTTTTCCCCTTAAGCAAATGTTTCTAATGAATGTTTCATTGTTATTTGTGCTTTTTAGGGAGCAGTGATGTACAAGCTGTGTATCACACTAGTATCTCTCATTTTATTCTTGACACTTACCAAGAACTTTCCCATGGCATATATTATTGATAATGAATTTCTTGATAAAACACCCTTCTTGTCAAGACTTGGTTACCTGTATGTTGTAACACAGGCAGCAAAACCAAAGTATTACTTTGCATGGACGTTAGGTAAGTCTGACTACATCATTTATTTTTGTAGGTAACAAATAAGTTTATAAATGGGGGAGGAGGTCTGAAACATTGGGGTGTGAAATTAGTCCCTAGACCTCTAGTTCCCGTGGGAGATGTACACATGTTCCTGTAGGCAGTGGACTCTGCTGAAGTGGGGAGATGTCAAAAGTTTTGAAAAACGTGCATAAAATTTCTTCTAGCTTGTCTGACATCCCCTGCCTCTGGAACCAAATCTGCTTTTCAGCTTCTTGCCAGTAAAGTCAATGTAACAATTTCTTCTTACTTAAAACTTTGTACCAAAATAATTTTTACAGGAATTCTTAGGAAAAAAAAGTTTGCCTCCTCTAAACCTTGATTTTTATGCTTTATTCATAGTTTGCAGTTGGGAGGTTAAAATTGGTCACGCTGGCTCAGGCTTTACAAGAACATTACAGTGCAAACAGACCTCTCTCTTCCTTTAGGGACATCTTTAGCATACGCATCTGTATTTGAAAGCTGTAGTGCTTGTTGCGGGGCTGAAGTTAGGCTTTGCCTCTAAGGCACTTTGTGATCCTGTACGCATTTTAGCTTTGAGCAGTCGGGAGAAAGGATTGGAGAACCATGGGGAAGGTGGGGAACAAAGGACAAGTGGGAAGGACCCAAGAATCTCTGCAAGGAAAAGAAGGAAGAGGGGTCATTACAGAGAGAAGCAAATTTCTTATATTGGGAGCCAGCTAGACCGGTGGCCAAAGTAATCTTTTTGTATTTTACCTTCTTCCTTTTCAAGTCATCTTTCCCATCTTTATGTGAGCAGTCAGTCCTTCTAGGCCAGGCCAAAAATTGAGAGACTGAATGGTTTTTGCTGGTTTTACAAGACTTTGTGTGTAGGGCAGATCCTGAAAGCCCAGCCAGCAATGTATACACCTGAAACTGAGAAGAGCGTCATTGAGATGGGATGGAAAGAGCAAGGGAAACTCATTGTGAGGCTGTGATTAAATTGCTGAGAATAAAACTGACAGATCGAGGGAAGACAGCCAAGACTGGCATGTGTGGGATGGGAAAGCCTTTGGGATAAAGAATTGCTTGCTCAGAAACTTATTTTTGTGAGATCCAATGTTAAATTGTTGCCTCCATTTTTTCTGGCATTAAAAGTCCATTATCAAAGAGATAAACTGAACTTGTATTTGTGACAAGACTAAGCCATAGAGGCTGTGGAAATATCTTACAAATGAGGAGGTTCTGGAAAAGCATGCATAGCATACTGGAGGGTGAGGCATCTATTATTCACATTGCAAATCCAGGCAGCAGAACAGCAGACACTTTATCCTTTCGCAGTTAACTCCTGGTGGCATGGCCCAGGGCATTACGAAAGTGCCTGCTGAAACGGCCGATAAGCTCTTCCTGTCCTCTGAAAAGGACAGTCACGCTATTGTGCGAGAGCCGCGCTGCCGAATTCCTCCAGATCCATGGAAAGATGGAAAATTCAGCTTCTCCCTGCATTAGTAATAGTCATGGGAACATGGCTGCAAACCGAACTCAGAGCTGTCGATGAAACCAATTTGGGACTGAGAGCTTGCATCCAAGGAGCTGTGAAAGCGATATGCCAGAGCTGTTCAAGTCAGCAGGGAAAACTCTGCCGGGCACTGCGGAGTGTTGGGGTGTTGTGAGCAGTTCCATTGCGATTCTTCTGCGCTTCACACCTCGCTCTGCAGACAGCAGCTTGGGAAGCGAGAGGCGGATGGGTCTGCTGTATTATTACGTCCCTGAATTTCTGGTTTCTTGCTTTTGGCAAAGAAACACTAAGCGGTCCCTGCCACCCTTGGAGCAGCAAGGAGGAGCAAACCCAGGAGTCCCCCTGCTCTGGGGTGACAGTTAGGTGCAGCTCCAGTCTCTGCAGTTGGGCAGGGTCCTTACTGATCTCATAGCAAGACACTGGCAGGCCATAAAGGAAATATAATTTCAGAGAGGGTTGTTGGGGTTTTTTTGGTTTGGTGGCTTGTTGTTTTTTTTTAACAGGGAGAGAATTAAGAACTCTGAGACCTTTCTTTCTATCAGTAAAATCTAGCTCGTTTAGTAAAGTGGAAAATAATATTGAAAACTTCAGGTTAGAAAAGGTTGCTCATTTATTTATTCAATTATTGTTACTCTTGTTGCTTTTAATTAGGTTCTCTCCCTAATTTTGTGCTTTGGGACTCCTCCGTGAGCTTGTGCTTGTATTCATAGCACTTACAAAGCAAAATCAGTTTTTGTTCTTGGGAAAGAAATGCTGACCTTTTTAAAGCGTAACTTAACCAGGCTTGTATTTTGTAAATATCTAGAAGAAAAAGCCTTACCTGTATTTTCGTTTTCCTTTTTCTTCCAATAATCCTTGATGTTGGCTGCAGCTAGTGAACCAGAGGTAATGAGTCCCTCCTGTTTTCTTAATACAGTGAGAGAAGATTTCTGGCAGGGGTGCATTAAAAGCAGGATCTTGAGAACCAGTGAGGAGATGGCTCCCAGGCAAGGCTGAGAGGGGAGGTAGCTGACCAGCGCCCTGGGAAAGAGCAAGAGTGCAGCATGTGAAATGCCTACCGCTACCCAAGCTTTTTATTTGCACTTAAAGTAGTTAAGTCCGTAATGGAAATTACTCAATATTCAATTTGTAGAGATGGTGAGGTACTTAGGGAGGCACTGAGTGACAGGATTAGCGAATGGCTTTGTCTGCGGAAGTATGAAAGTAAGTCTCAATTAAAACAGCCATGTTGGAACTCTTAATAGGAATAGTAAACATATATTTGAGACACTATAGTTTTTCTGAATTCTGGAAAATGCTGTGACATCCAGGTACCCTTTTGAGGAAAACGCTAATTCATTTTACGTCAACTCTTGTATATCTATCTCGGATAATAGAGGCAAAATAATGGGAAAAGTGATTTCTATCCACTGTTGTTTTATTTTATTTTATTTCTTCTGCCCAAGGAGTAGCTAGTCTTTCCTCTTGAGGAAATGACTCTTGTGTTGTCCTATAGCAATGCCCCTTTACCAAGGGGAAGCTTCTCTTTGAAAGAGAGGATGCTAATTGCTACAAAGCTGGCTTGAATGTGTATTTGATGCTATACTGACTTGTAAGAAAACACGGCTCCTCCAGAGTCTGATTTGACCTGTTTTGCTTTGACATTGCAGCAGATGCAGTCAACAATGCAGCTGGCTATGGATTCAGTGGAGTTGATGAGAGGGGCACTTTCCGCTGGGACCTGTTGTCCAATTTAAATATCTGGAATATTGAGGTGAGTTAAAGGAGTGGCTGCATTGACATAATTATAAAGAAATGGGCATGATAACGGGGTGAAGCTTTGCTGGAAGGAAAGTAAGTCCATGCCAGCAGGCTGCCCCTCTTTAACATAGAGAGGTTTTGTATTTTATCTGTTGGGCAGATAAAAAGCATCTGTCACGCAGCCTTTGTCATGCTCTGTATTCAGGTTGCATTTCTAAATAGTTTATAGAAGGCTAATAAATGATTAATCAGATGTTTAATAAATGAGCAGTCAATTTCTGTAGATTGTGACTGAGTTCAGCGGGTCAATAAATTGCTCGCAGCTATGATTCTCCACCATCTGTGGTGTATTCTGTTTAATTACTTCTAACAGTCTTCCACTTTTGTAACCCAGTTGAGATGGGTGGTGGTAGTGGAAGAGGCCACCACGAGTGGGCATTGCACAGGCACTTGCAAGGGATGGGTCCCTGCACATGCCTGGAGTGCCTCTGGTAAACAGAGAAAAGCAGGGGTTGGAGAGATAACAGGTACAAACCGAGCAACCTGAATGGGAACTGGCAGGGCTTACTGGGTAGAGCTTACGTGGTTGCTAATCTAGAGCTCCATCCAGCAAACCACACTGTTTCTCAAAACATTTGTCGCACATGTTTCTTGTGACTGCAGTATACTTTCAACATCCGTTAGTCCCTTGTAAGCTATTTGTGTTTGTTTCTCTAATGCAAAAGATGGCCGATGTAATTTGTTTGCCCCGAAGAATATTTTGTGAATGCCAGTGGGATGTGAAAATGTTTACGTGACAGAGACTGCTTTCTAAGGGCTTCTTTTCTTTAGAAATAGGAGGAGCTTTCCCCTGTAATTCTGTAGTTATGATTTTAAAAGGAAAAGCAGATGAAAACAAGTTGACTGCTTTATTACTGAATGATCTGTGACTAAGTGAATGTGCTGTAATAGCTCTTCTCAAAAATGAAAGAGCCCCTGTAATTCTTCATTGAAAGATGCCAAAGCTGGAAGTATCATTATACATTCTCACTTTCTCAACATCCTTCTCTGTCTTTTTTTTTTTTACCTTAATTAATCCTCAGTATATGTCTCTTCTTGAGCGGTACAGAATACACAGCCCAGAAATGCTTTATACTCTTTGATGGCGGCAGCATGCCAGATACCGCTCTGAGATCTTGAACCAAGGTCTGATTCAGTTTTGGGGCAGGAGATGACTCCTGCCTTGATGAGCTGAGGCAGTTCCTGCTTGAAGGAGGCAAGTAAAGTGCAGGCAATGCTCTTTAGTCAAACCAAATTAAAGAAACAGGAGCCTTTGCTCCTCTCTACCCACAGAACTGTAAGGCCCCTCAAAACCTTTTTTCCTTTACTGCTCACACGGACAATAGAGATCAGGGTGGAGAAATTGTGTCCAGGAGTGTAAAACAGTGCTCTCCATTGATTTGGTCATGTGTGCGCTGAGAAAAAGAGAGGCTACAGAGACCATTACTTCGGGTAAGCCTTGAACTGTCACTTTATGCAGCAACAACAATTCCAGAGTTGAAGTTTAAGTGTGATCGTACAGTGTGTTTTAAGCAGGTATAGCCACCTGCATATGTAAAACTGCTTAAGAGTTGGGAACTTGAGTGCTAAATGTCGCTAAGAAATTACCTGATCTGTAGTAAAGAGAAGCACGTGGCAGGAGCTGTGAGGGCATTAAAACGTGATGGGGGCTAAACACATGTGGGGGACTTGAAAGCCTTGGCAGCATGTATATTTTGACAGCCAATGACTACTTTCTCTCTTGGTAGCGTAACAGGGGAACTTAAAGGAAGCCAAAAGAGTGACAGTATTAGTTGGAAGAGAAATTATATTTTTCTTGGCTTCTTTTGGTGCAGTAATGCAATTAAAATGTGGCAGTACTGCATTGGGAATTGCTAATCATTTTAACTCTTTAAACACAGAGGATGAAGTTCTAGCCTTCAGGATTCTGTGTGGAAGTGCAATAATATCTGCATATTCCCCTTGGAAACCTTTGCCTTTAATCCATCCCGTGTGCCCTTGCCTTCAGCTGATATGGGGAAATAACGTGGTGTCGCTGAACCATGTCCCAGCTTGGCGAGGAGGTGCTCGGAGGATTCTGTCAACAAGTGAGGAACAAGGGGAGTGGGGATGGGGAACCAAGATGGGTGAAGTTGACCAGGATTAGGGGAACTGATGCTGAACGGAGTCCAGCAGCCCCCTAAAGCTGGGGGGACTGGTGCTGTCAGGAGGTACAGGTAGTTCTCCCAGGACCCTGGAGTCCACTCTGGTTTCTCAAGCTGGGCAGTGGACTGAGAATCGGCTTCTAAGTTCAGTCCTGAAATTTTTTGTCTGTGTTTTTCAGTCTTCCCCCTTCCTTCTCCAAATAATAATGTGTTTCTTTTGGTTTTTATAACACTTTGTTTTAATAGCACTCTAGGGAAGTCCAGACTGCGTAACGGGTGGCAAGATATCTGTTCCAAAAATGAAGCTGTTTATGAACTGAAGGGAAGGCTAAGCATTTAAAATGAGACAGATTTTCAGATTTCCTGTGTCCTGTTTTCGGCTGGCACAGAGTTAATTTTCTTCCTAGTAGCTGGTATAATGTTGTGTTTTGGATTCAGTATGAGAAGAATGTTGATAACACACTGATGTTTTCAGTTGTTACTGAGTAGTGTTTAGACTAAGTCAAGGACTTTTCAGCTTCTCATGCCCAGCCAGTGAGAAAGCTGGAGGGGCACAAGAAGCTGGGAGGGGACACAGCCAGGGCAGCTGACCCCAACTGGCCAACGGGGTATTCCATACCATGTGATGTCATGTCCAGTATATAAACTGGGGGGAGTTTGCTGGGAGGGGTGGATCACTGCTCGGGGACTTGCTGAGCATCAGTCAGCATGTGGTGAGCAATTGCATTGTGCATCATTTGTCTTTCTTGGGTTTTATTTCACTCTCTTTTTGTTGTCTTCCTTTTCATCATCATTATTATTATTAACATTATTATTATTAATAATAATATTATTATTTTAATTTTTATTCCAATTATTAAACTGTTTTTATCTCAACCCACGAGTTTTACTTGTTTTTGATTCTCCTCCCCATCCCACAGGGGGGGCAGGGGGAGGAATGAGTGAGCGGCTGCATGGGGCTTAGTTGCTGGCTGGGGTTAAACCACAACATCCCACAATTTGAAAAATAACTAAACGTTGTATTTAATTTTACAAAACAAAGTGAGATTTTTTTAGCAAGTGCCAAGTGTTAGCGGTGAGCAATCAGCCTAATTAATGTGCCTCCCAAAACATATTAGTGTAATGATGGACTGTGGCACAGGCTTCACAACAGTTAGCTACTAGAAATAATGTATTCCATGTAGCTCCTCTCTAATTTAAAATGCAAGTATTATTTTACAGCTTTCAGTGCTAACATTTCATATGAACTTCTTTCTTAGACTGCAACAAGTTTTAAAATGTACATTGAAAACTGGAACATTCAGACAGCTGCCTGGCTAAAACGGTAAGTGTAATGAAACAGTGATGTGCTTGTGAAACCCAAAAACTCTAGATGGCCTCAAAAACCATTGACTGGTGAATCTCATAAATGTATAGTCTCTTGTCCTTTCTTTGTTTCCTGTGTCTGTAACAGTTGGTGGAATACAAGGGTATTTGGTGCTGTAAAGTTTTATTGCTGCAAATGTAAAATGCCTGCATCTTATATAAAGCAGGAAAGCCCAAAACGAACTGTTCAGATCTTCCATAATAAAAAGTAATAGCATTTTGATGGCATCTTTTAGGCTGCCGTTTGCCTCCGTTATTCTTGCTGTACTGTTTCACTTTGCCATGTTGTGTTTCCCATGTGTATTATTACCAGACGTGAGCCTCTCTGTCACTGGGATCCAGTTCAGCTAGAACTGGAGAGAAGTCAAAGTCTTCAGAGCCCCAGTGTAGTCTGGTTTGGAGCTACCACAAGATGTTTGCCAGGGAGTCACTGTTTAGGATATGGAGAAGAGACTTCTTTATAGCACTGAGAGGATCTGATTTTAACCCATGACTGTTAAGGCACATATAAATACTAGTATTAAGTCCAAATTTTGTAGATTGAACTCTCGTTACTCGTTACACTTTTTGGTATGATTACAGTTCAGCATACAGTCAATGTGGAGTCTGAAATGCAGGCATGGATTTATTGTAGTTATTGTAACTATTTTTGTTGTTAAATATATACATCCCAAAAGTCAATGTCTACTATTTTTCATGATTCAAATTATGTTCCTGGTAAGTGCATTATTGTGACTCATTTCTTTGGAACACAGCATTTCAGTTAAACTTCAGATAGCCAAATAGACAGGTTGGTGTGTTTTTGAACTGGTATCATTTGCTTGTGTCTTTGGAGTAAGATTTTGGGCTGGTAAAGTTAGCAGGAATCCCCTGCTTTGCAATATCTTTGCGGCACTCCCTGTTCCCAGCGTTTGTCAGATAACAGTGCCTAAAAACACCTCCGTTCACCAGTGAAAGGTGGGGTCACGTCTCTTTGTCTTTTGACTCACTCTTGATCTGCCGTCAGAGTTTTGAAGGGTAGTGTGTGATTCCAGATAGAGGTATAAAGGTGAATGAAGTCTTGCCTGCCCTCTGTCCCATTATTCAATTAAATGCTATGAGGACCGGGAATATTTGGATACTCAGTGCATAAAAGCATGCTTCCTCTTCCCATCTAAACCTCCATCTAAATGAACGGAGAGCGCCTTGTGCCCTGGTGTGTACCAGAGACAAGATAAGACCGTTAAGAAAGCAGAATAAGACCTTACAAACAGAGAAAGATTTGAAGTGCAGCGTCCATTGTTCAGTTGTATTCAGCCTCTTCTTGTTTCGTTTTCGTTTTTGCAGCGTCTGCTATGACAGAGCTCCCTGGTACCCTACGGCTTTAACTTTTATCCTGTCGGCCCTGTGGCACGGTATCTATCCTGGATATTATTTTACGTTTCTCACTGGAATCCTTATCACACTCGCAGCCAGAGCAGTATGTACCTTTCATTGTTCTCTTCTAAGGCCCATGCTAGATACTATCCAGCTGTCAACTGCAGGGACCACCCTGACACGGTCAAGCAGCTTGTGCCCACTGTGAGCCCTCTTTTATGCCTTTGCGGGCTTGAAGTTCACTGAAACTTTGTTCTGTATTGATGCTCATCACAGAGTACCCCCAGCAGTCATAAGCCGCACCAGTTCTGCACGGGCTGCAGTGCTGTCCCTGGCTGGCAGAGGAAACGTTGCTGGTGGCTGTACAGTTGGTAGTGCCACCGGCTATGTCCATGCAGCCAAATTAGCTTGGGATTCAAGGTCACGTTGGAGTCCAGGCTTCAGCTAGGTCATGTTGCCTGTATGCTGGTGTCTAATCAGCCCAGGGCCCAGTCTTTCACAAGGAGTTGTTAGGGGTTGAGCATTAGCCCAAACTTGAACTCTTCCATGTGGATGCAATTGATGCAGTAAACTGGTCTCTGTGTTTATGGGCCTCGTTTCAGGTAGAGTCACCGAAGGCAAAACAGGTTTCCCCTCTCACTATTGTTAAATTTATCACTGCTGATCTTTCAGGCCAAACCAGCCAGTTGTGCAGGGCTGGGAAGCAGCACCGTTGTCTTTCAGAGCTTGACTATGGATAAGTAACCAGGTCAATTTGAAAGGTGAATTAAACTAGTGATCAGTATTAACCACTAAGGCTAGAGCAGGTCGCTGAACATGTGGTCTTAACATGTGCTTTGCCTCTGATTTATGAGGGTTTCATAGATGTGAAGCTAAATCAAAATCTCTAGGGAGCAGCACACACTTGCAGGTATAAACACGTATCTGTTCATTTAAAGTAGCTTTGTTTCACCGTTGATAACCAATAATAAATCAAAACCAGCAGGGAGGAAGATCAAATCATAACAACTCCCAAAGGTATCGTGCCAGATATCCAGCATGAGAGTCTGCTTCCGTGATTATGATGGAGGAAATTAGGGGACACTTCTGTTTGCCACTGGTTGACTGTGGGATCTTGGGTATGCCAGTCAATACAATTCTGTCTTCCTACTCTCAGTGCTTTCTAACTGGTGTATAAACTTTTCTATAATAGTAATGCTGATGATAAGTGGAAAGTCATACATTACACTATGTCCACGTGACTTTGCCTAAGAAATGAATTTATATTAATTTTCTGTTTACTTTTCCCTGACCTGCAGATAAGAAACAGTTGCAGACATTACTTCCTCTCATCAGTGCCTCTCAAGATAGCCTATGACGTTATTACCTGGGTTGTCACTCAACTGGCCGTGTGCTATACTGTTGCACCATTTGTTATGCTGGCTGTTGAGCCCACGATCAAGTTCTACAAGTAAGTTCTCTCCTCTTGACTATTATTCTCCAGACCAGCATGGGTTTTTGTTAAATAACTTGGACCACACTGAAAGGCAGTTGGCATTTCATCAGATTTGAAAGGAGTTCAAACAGGATGCTTAATAATGTGTAAGGGGTAATTTTTGCACTCCTGTAACTTAATGAGATAATAATATTGCCAAGGCAGACCGCTTCACTTGTACTTCTCAGTCTTTCTGTGTCCCTATGTGAATGTTCACATACTCAGTTTCCTTTTTTAAAACAGTTGAGTCTCAACCATTAACAGTGACCAAGGCTGGAGAGGTCAAGAATAACATAAATTGGCAGTAGGAAGGACTTGATGAGAAAAGGCCAGGTTTCCAGCTGCTGGATGCGTAGAACAGGAGATGTGATCAGTCAGCAGGAGATAAGGAGGGTGCCTGGCAGAGCATTACTTCTAGAAATGAGCATGCTTTTCTTTTTGAATACTTCCATAGGAAGTGAGTACTTCTCTAGGTTCCTTAAAGATAAGAAAATGCTGGTGTTGCAGAATATACTGAATATACTCTAATAAAAATAAATTGAAATAAAGAAATAGAGAAAATAATTTGAAAAAGGAGACTGGACTACATTGCTTTACTTTTTCATTCTACAGTGAACTGTCAACATAGAGTAACAGGTTTTGGTTAAGACGACAGTTCCTTTCTCTAATGTAAAAGACATAAAACTGGTAGTCAAGATAGCTGCTGTCAGTAAGTCTGTTTGAAGGGTGTTGAATTTTGACATTTTCTATTCCTGTTTCATAAAACATTTGATTTCAATGCAGAAAATTTACCAAATAAAAATTATTCCAAATCTTTCTCAGTTCCATTCCTTAATATTTTTTGCCCTAGTGACTTTGAACATAGTTAACATTTAAACTTGGAGACTGTTAAGCAAGGAAATCGTAGGCCTTTGGACCAGAGCATGATTTTTTGGAACACTGCACGCCTAGCAGTGGTCTTAAACACCTTACAAGGATATTAAGAACTATGGTAAGAAGCATAAATGAGACCACAGGGAGGTGTATCTCTGTGGTTAAGAGCTGGACCATACTGCTCCCAAACATCATCCTCCCCAAGCTGCCAGAGCCTCATGTAATTGGTTTAAGTATTTTTTTTTATTTCTGTTCAATCTTGTGTATACTGAATTATTTGAAATAAAAATATTTTATATTTAATAAAATATCAAATGAAGATATCTGAGTAGTTGCCTTCAAAAACACGATCCTTCTGTAAACATCATTACTTGATCATCCCTAGTTAAAAGTTCAGTGTTTGGATTTATTTCAGATCTCAGCCCTTGGAATTATTTTTTTTTTCTTTCTGTCACTTTTTTTATTTTTTTTTAAACTTGTACAAGTTTTATGTCCTAAGCATGAAGGATGTTTCTTCAGAATGTAGCCTTGTATACATACTCTAACATTAAAAGAGAGGTGGGCTGAATAAGTCTGGGGTTGAATTACGTGGGTTTATCTGAGCTGTCAGACTTTGGATTCTGGAGTTTGCTGATTGATTCCTCCCCTCATTAACATCCACGGCAACATTTCCATCCATGCCAGCGGGTACCGCATGCATAGGCTGTGTGAAATTCAAGGGTGTATTTTTGTGCTTTCTAGGTTGGGTTCATGCTTTCTGCATTCGCCCCTTAGCACTAAATTCTGCATGGACTTATTGAGGTTGCACAATTCATGTTATTACCAAAAAAAATGTAATATTCTCTTTCTGCTTTTGTTCCCAGGTCTATGTATTTTCACATGCATATTCTAAGCATCCTGGTGTTGCTTGTGTTACCGATCAGACCTCAAGCCCACTCCATAAGAAAGCCTCAGAATCAGGCCATGATGAACTCTGTTAAAAGCAAAGACAAATGATGCCTCCAAAGAAAATTGCCAATATTGGGAAAACAAACTGTCATATTGGAAACAAACAAAGAAGAAGAAAAATGGGTGGGATGAGGGTTGAAGTACAAGACAGGTGGCATTTCTATTGGTTGTCTTAAAATCTTACTGGACAGGGCAGAAAAGAGCCTGAATGACCGTATTTCAAATTATTCCAGTTATCAGAGATTTTTACAGGCAACGTTTACAGGCTCATGGGGCATTTTGATTTTTTTTAATAAATATTTTTATGAAGTGTTTTTATATATTTAAACTTTTTCACACAGAGAGGCATTTTTTTCTCTTTTACAGAAATATACAACTATTAATCAATAAATAATCTTGTGATTAGAGGGACAGGAAGCAGCTAGTATAGAGTTAGACCAGCTGCCTGATAGCCTGGTGCTGTGGGCAGCTGGCAGAGGAAGCTTTTCATCTCTTGGCTACGGAGAGAGATGGCGCAAGTAGAAAACTGCGGACGTGGGGTTGCTCAAGGTGCTGGCGCTGACTTCTGCCCCAGCAGGGAGAAGAGGGAGCGGGACTTTCCCCAGCAATGCCCAGAACAGGGACTGCAGCCTGAGCTTGGCAGCAAGGGTATTTCACAGCCTTTAACGTGACACCTGCTGGTAATGAGGGTGAGAAAATGTCCCTTGGGAATAGGTGTCTGGGAGCACTGGCAACTGGCTAACCCAAAATCTAAAGCCAAGTAAAAGCAAAACAAAAGAGGGGGTGTGTGGGGAAACCCAACCTAGAGTAAAAGAAGGGATGTACACCCAGTGATCTGTAGAGTTGTGCTTCTCTAATGATGCAGCTGGTGCTCATTGCTGCATCAGCATACTTTGCAGTTTTAGTGTGATGCAGCACTTCCATTTTGGTGTCAAAATAACTGAGGAGCCATGCATGTTTAGCGTTTTAAAGCTTGCAGTTATGGGTTAAATCTGAAAAAGGTTTGTAATGGATCAGACTGTTTTACTCAAAAACATCCCATCTTACGGAAGGGTTACTTTCCAGCAGGGTAACACTAATATGAAACCTGAACAGGAATTAGCGTAGTCATAATAAGTCATTCTCTACAAAATACTGTGATGTGATATGATCATCACAAGAGTCAAGGCAGAGTCCTGGTATGATCTTGACATGTGACTTTGCCTGTCAGTGCAAGTTTCCCTGCTTGTAAAGTCCTTGGCTTACAGGGATGTTTTGAGGCTTAATTTCTAAGAGCTTGTAGTGCATTGAGATAACCTGCTGCAAAATGCTGTGTCAGGTTTTCTTTATCTCTTTTTTTTAAGTCCACTTACCCCAATAAAACAGGCTGGTACGACAACACATCGAAACCAACTAAAACATTTTTAAAATTACTGTTTTCCAGGAATGTTTTTATCAGCATTTTGTAGAAGCAATTCCCTCGTTAAAGTATTGGTATTGCTTTATGATCATTTACTTGATGTGTGATTGAGCAAAGAATCTGCTGTTTACTGCATTCTGATTTTTGTGTCAGATTAAAATTTTGCAGAATCCTAATGTTTTGGGAAGAAACAAATTGGTGAAACCGAAAGAAGTTCAAAAAAAAGTTTGTTTGTTCCCCCCCCCACCCCCCTTTGGTGGGAAGTTTTTGTCCTGTGACCACCTTGTGATTTAGAGCATAGTTCATGGAAGAGTTTATTTGGTAATTTATTTTGAAGGTGAGATGGGATTAAAAGGTAGATCTGAATAAACAAATTGCTTTGTGTCACCGCCTGGCATTATTAATCACAAATGTCTAATGTGAAAATGGGTGGGTGGGTGGGCATGAGATCCCTCACACTTGTGAGGGGGAGTGTTCAGGTCTGCTGGATTTTACAGAGCAGCTGGGCTTTACATCCTGCTCCTGCTGAAACGAAGACAAGATGACCCCCGTTCGTTTTCATGGCAGCTTTGTCCTTCGCTTGGCCAGTCCTTACTTGTCCTTGTGCGTGTGTTCTCCTTGTGGCACCGGCCTCCGTTGCATCTTGGGCATCTAGTGTTTCCCTTGAGGTCTGGCTGTGCCAGCCCTGTTTCTTGTGGGAAGGAACCGGGGCATATCCCCAGGAAGGATGGGGGCTTGGGCGCTGCTGGCTGTGGCATCCCGTGGGCTTGAAGCCAGCCTGCGTTTACCTCCCAGAAACTGGAATTAATTACTATGATGAGCGTTGGCAGACCCAGCGGAACGCACATCAACGCCGGGCTTCGGCAAGCCTGCAGAAGGCAAGTGTTTCCAGCAGGTTGGCTTTAGCATCTGCTTTGGATAATAAATGTGCTCGAAGAGGGTAGTGGGTTTGTACCTGCTGCTCTGTGCCCTGGTCTGCAGCCCTTCCCAAGCTCTACGTTCAAGAGAGGCCAAGTGTTATCAGTGGGGTTTCTTTTCTAGTGTTTCACTTAAGTGGAACCTGCTTAACTCTAATGCCACCGACTTCTCTTGTAGTTTCAGCTTCTACAATGTGATGAATTAGTCAGGGCTAGTGAGCAAACTCTTATTCTCCTGTCACGTTGTCTTCTCAGCCTCATCCTCTCCCTGAAAACAGGAACCCTGGGCTTCAATGACAACTGGTCATGTGAATTTAATATGATATGTTACATGAATTAAAATGAAAATGGTCTTTTTCAAATGTTGCATTGGCAGGGAAACTTGCTGGTTGAATTAGTCTTAAAGCTGGGGGGGGGGACACAAGACACATGACACAAAATTACCTAAAATCTTTGCTGTACTGCATTACTGTGGACTAGACAGCTTACCTAGCCAAATGTGGCAGTCCTGCAGAGCTAACAGAGTGGATTTAAATCACTGTAAAACACTCCTTTGAAAAAAGGCTGTTAGCTTTTGTACTACCTGTCTCAATCCATTGTACTCAGTCTTCCTCTCATTTTCTTTTTCTCAGGGGGAGAAAATTTGGTTTTATAGAAAGACTGCAAACAGCCACTACTATTTAGAGGACACTCGTGCTAGTAGCATGCATCTACTTTGCACAGGAGTATACAACTAAGAGCCAAAGTAGAGATTCAGGTTATAAAAGTGTGATGTCGGGAACTCAAGTACTGGCCTTGCATTACTTGGTCTCTACTTGCAATACTGTAATTTGAGGGCGTGCTTCAGTGATTAAAATACATGATTGTGATTACCACCGTGGTGTTAGATTCTAATCCCTCTCTAGGTTGCTTGTGCTCCAAAAAGCTGAGGAGCTGAAGCTTCTAGAGAGATTCTGAAGACAAAAACAATCTTGATGGTTTGTAAGAGACAAATATAAGCCTATCAGAAATGAAAAAGGTAGATTGTACTGGATTGACTAGCTGCTATTTTTCAGCACATTTAGCTGCATGAAAGCTAAACTGGAAGTTGAGATGCACTTAGGAGACAGGACTGAATGAAGAGTAAAACTTCATTTCAGCTTAACTATGGGTCTGGTATTTAAAGAAGCAACAGCTCAGTGATTTCCTCAGTGGACTGGAAGCACAAAGTACTTTCTTTTCCTGTCCTGTAGGCTGTCCCCCTCCTCGAGTACATTCCTGCAAGTCCCCTTGGAGTGTGCCAAGCAATGGAGGCAGCACAGAAGGGGGATACAAGGTGGGCAGATATTTTTTTCCTCCCTTTTTGGCTGTTCTGTTCTGTGTGCATACATTGCACATAGCTGGGATTTTTGCATCACTTAAAATGAGGTAGGCGGGTGAGAAGGCCATAGATTTTTACTCTATTGGTAGGTGTTTGCATAAACCTGCACTTGCCTCTCTGTTTGCACATATAAAAGTAGGCTCAGCAGACTAGATCTGGATCCTTTCTTAGAAATACAGGTTGAAATCCCGACACCCAAGGAAGTCTAGTGGTAAAATTCCTGTTAGTGAGGGCAGTGTCTCTGATATTTAAAGCCTTTATCTCCTTATCCCTGAGCTGGGGACTTTAGAAAAAAATTCTACTGGCTGCAGTAGTAAAGGGACTAAACGGAAACTTGTCTTAAAAGTGTGTTACAAGGAATGCCTATAGTCTACATGTTGTGAACAGAGGAAGAGCATGTCTCTCCTCATCCTTGCCCAAGACAAAGTGACATGCATGTTTGCATATTGAAATATCAAATATCCTTTGAGGTACCATTCTCTTTCCTTATTGCACTGAACTGATGTATTTCAGCTCTCAGGGGCTAGAGGCATTCCACTGCGGTAACAAAGTGGGGAGCCTTGCCTGCCATCTCAGCGTGAGTACGAATACGCTTTAAAAACGTATTCTTTTATGCAGCATCAGCCTGCTGCTCCCTTTCTTCTTAGAGGTGACAGTAACAATAACGCACGAAGCGTTTGGATTTGCTCTGGGTGGGAACTGCAGCCTTCCGAGCGCTGATGCGATGCCATAAAGCGGGCGCGCGTTTGCTGGGTTATACGTTTACGAGCAGTGCCCTCTGTGGGCAGCCGGACCTCGGCCAGCACTCGAGTGAAGGTTCGAGTGTTTTGAGTGGGAGATGCTGCCAAGGCGAAGGTGTTTGCAGCAATGCAACCGTGCTAACTGCAGGACAGCTGGCGGCTTTCGCATGTGCGATAGCAAACGCGTTTTGCTTTGGGGCGGGAGAGCAAGAGAAATTGAAGACTTAGGTAGGCTGGGAAAAAATATTGCAGGAGGAAATGCTGCCTTGTTGGTAGAAAAGGTGGTGTTTATGTGCCTTAAGGGCTTGGGGTACGCTTTCGTTCATCTGACTCAAGTATGGTCTGTGGAAAGGAACCACAGGATGGGGGAAAATCAGTTCTGAGAAGTGCCCCGAGACCGCCCTCGGGACCCGATTTATTGTCCGTCCATAGAGCAGCTCTGAAAGTGAGACCCCAGGCTTTTCTACTGCAGCCTGGTTCCCTGCACGCTGGGATGAGGGGCCGTGCAGCTTGCGTGTGAGTCCCTGGCACAAGCGGCAGGCAGCAGATCCAGGAACACGCCACGCTCACGGCCAGTTTTCCCAATCCCTCTGTCAGGTGCTGCCCAGCCGTATTGGGCAAAGAGTTTGGCACGTACTGAGGCCGAACCAGTCACGGTGGGATGGGGTGAAAGGAAACGCTGCCAGGGCCCAGACATGCTAAGTAAACCCTTGCCTTGTCCTGGGGTGGAAACTGGTACCCCTCTTCATCAGAAGCAGCTTCAGATGGTGACACTGTCACTGCTCTGAGACACGTGGATTTCTCTTTGTTCATATTTATTCTCGCCTTGATGGCTTCTGTATTAGTGCACTTCAGGTTTTTTGCTTTACTTGTTTTATTTGTGTTTGAGAAAGATGGTGTTATGTAGCTATTTTCTGTCTGATCAGGGAGATACACAACTAAAGGCAACCTCGAAAGATGTGGTGAGTAACATGAGTATAGGAATAGATAATGTGAACACGTTCTAAGTCCATTAATTGATTTTACCTGTCTGTGACTCTGATGTGGTTTTTTTTTTCCCCCGAGTACTCTTAAATAACACCTCCCAGTGTGCAGCAGCTGGTGCAGGTTTCCCTTGGAGGCATCTTGGGAAGCAGCTCGGACAAAAAAAGCCCATTTCTGACACCCACAGCCCCCCCGCCCCGGCCTGGACCACGGCTCCTCCAGGGCAGGCGGGTGAGGGGCTGCCTGGGATGCTTTGGGATTGCTTGGGGTACCGTGTTCTTCCTCCTCCTCCTCCTCCCAGCCTGTGAACATGCGTGCGATCCACGGCATGTGTGACAGCGAGGGAGAGAGAGACTGCTTGCAGCT